AAAAAAAAAAAATTTTTTATGTTGGTATTTAATAGTATCGCATCCCACATGCGATAAATATTTATTTTGCTGGGCGCAATGCCTAAATAAGTCCTAAATTATTTTATATTGAAATATTCGATATATTATATAAAATTTTAATTGAGCTATCTTAACGAATATTGATCTAATTTTGATGATTTAACTACCATTATGACCGGAATAACATCTGAATAATATTTATTAAAAAAATTACAAATTTTATTAAAATGTTTCAAAACTATTCGCATTTTTTAAAAAATTTTTAAATTATTTTATATTGAAATATTTGACATATTATATATAAATTTTAATTAATTAATGATCCACTACTCAACAGGTGCATGCTATTAGTATAACATGACGCAGTTTACTATGTAAATCTATTATAGTGCGAATGTGGCGATTGCCCAAGTAAAACTTTTTTTCTTACTAAGTTAATCAATATTGTAGAGCTTATCTTTGCGGTTCTAATGGTGGTTAATCATCCAAATCGGCCCAGTAGATGCCGAGATATCTTTAAAAAACGTTTCCTTTACTATGTAAACTTCTTTGCAAACAATACTATTGTTTGCAAAGAAGTTTACATAATAAAGGAAACGTTTTTTAAAGATATCTCAGCATCTACTAGGCCGATTTGGATGATTTAACCACCATTAGAACCGCAAAAATAAGCTTTACAATTTTCAATTAATCGACAAGATTGATTAATTTAGTAAGAAAAAAGTTTTACTTGGGCGATCGCCACATTTACACTATAATATATTTACATAGTAAACCACATCACGTTACACTAATAGCATGCACCTGTTGATGGCGAATCATCAATTAAGCTATCTTAACAAATATTGATTCGATTTTAATGATTTAACTACCATTATGACCAGAATAACATGCTGAATAATATTTATTAAAAAAAACACAAATTTTATTAAAAAGTTTCGAAACTATTCGCATTTTTTAAAAATAGTTTGAATTATTTTATATCGAAATATTTGATATATTATATAAAATTTTAATTGAGCTATCTTAACGAATATTAATCCAATTTTGATGATTTAACTACCATTATAACCAGAATAACATGCTAAATAATATTATTAAAAAAATTACAAATTTTATTAAAACGTTTTGAAACTATTTGCATTTTTTAAAAATAGTAAAAATATTAACTCTTTAATTTTAATTATTTTTAACTATATCAAATATTTTTAATATAATTTGAATTATTTCAAATTATTTTGCTCTTATAGTTTATAGTAATTTATCACAATCTGTTTCATTTTTGAATATTAACGTTTAAAAATATTAGCTCTTTAATTTTAATTATTTTTAATTATATCAAACATTTTTAATATAATTCGAATTATTTCGAATTATTTTGCATTCATAGTTCATAGTAATTTATTTTAATCTGTTTCGAATTATTTCGAATTATTTTATGTAATATTGCATAATTTCTTGCGTAATATTGCGTAATAATCTTACGTAATATTTCGTAATTTTATATTTCGCAATATTGCGAAAGTTATTATATAAAATTATAGTTTTTTATGCTTTGTAAATTATTGCGCAATATTACACCCTATTAAATTTGCTAATGTGTAAATTTTATAATATATCATTTGTTTGGTTAATGGATGAAGAAACGATACAATAATATAATAAGTATAAAAGCATAATGTATTTAACACGTCATAATAAGTTTACAGCGTGAGAGGAAGCATGTTTTGAGTGGATTTTAAACTTTATATTTGTAAATTTTTTATTTAAAGATGATTTTATTTTGATTAATATATATTATTAAATTATTTTAAGAAATTTTAATTAATTTTTTAAAGATTTTTATTTTTCGGGTATCTTATATTGATAAAAATAAGAAAAAACTATTTTTTTTTGTATAGTCAACTGTCTCAAAACCGACTCTGCTAAAGCTAATAACCTGGCAAATCTTATAAAAAATCAATTTACCAAGTCTGGTCTTGTTATATAAATTTAATAGTTTGTTATATTTTCAAACCTGATAACCTCTTAAAATTGATACAAAGCTTGTCAACTATGCATACTGATTTTGAGAAGGTTGACTATATATATTTGTGTATTGTATTTCAAGAAATGATTTTTGGTTAACTTATCGTTTGAAGTAATAAGTATTTACGTATATAATTAATTATTGATCTTAAATTAATGGGTTAAAGTGATCTGGTACGTACGAGTATATGTAGTATATAGGTGTGATAAGCTGAAATTTAAGATAGAATTTTTATTTAATTGAATGAAATAAAAGTTAGTAATGTAGAAGGTTTAATTATTTTTTATGTTATTTGTAAGTGAATTATCATGATGCAATAATTTATAATTACTAGATGTAGGGTTGTAGATAATAGAAATGCGAAGTGAGGTCAGTGATAAATTTAATTGTTTATATTCATGTCAGTTATTAGATAATATTAAATATATATTGATGAGATTAATTAAAGAGATAAATAGGTTAGAGTTGTTTATTTTGTTTTTGTCAAATATTTTTTATTTATAGTTAAATTTTTAGTTTATAATATATTTTTTATCAAATAAATTGAATGAGCTCATTTATAATTGTTGGAGAGAAATTTGTTTAATATAAGGGTTAAAGCGAAATAGGGTTATAATTTTTATAATAGGATAAATACGAGCGATGAGACTAAGTAAAAATAATAAATTTTGATAAATTTAAAATAGTAATTTATTGAGAACAGTCAGATGAATCGGATATAGTTATATGATTATCAAATTAAGGATAGGGATTGTTACTTGTAGAAGGAAAACAGTCATCGATGTTCGAGTTATTTTCAAAGCTTGTGGATTTGTTTTTATCGTTGGGTAATTCATTATTAAGGTATTCTTGAGAGGTTAAAGTAGAAGGATTTCCATGACCTAGAATATGGATAATAAATTATAAAGGAGGTATAAATAATAGTATAATGATAAGGATCTGTTAAATTTGAGTTACCTATAATATTATCTAGCGATGATCATAATTGGTTAATTCTTATTTAGTCAGAGAGAATATTAGGAGGTGTAAAGTTGAAGTTTGAATCACGTTGAGTTGGTTGGGTAGGTTTTTTGTGGGTAGAAGGAGAGTGTGTGTTGAATTTTTCGGCAATACATTCTAGATCTTCTAATCTTTGGCGCTTATTAGTATTATTTGTTTGTTGATTGTTAATAGAATTTTGTTGTATATTATATGAAGTAGGGTAATTCCATTCAACTGCTTCACACAGTATAAAAGACGATTTCATGAGTGGAATGAGCTCTCCAGCAACTGAGAAGATAGGGTGGCAAGTTGTTGCATCTGCAACGTTGTTATATCTGTTGTGGAGCGGATATTTGCAGAGGATTGATAGGGTGATTGATTACCAGTAACACCGTTATAGATATCTTGTTTTAATCTAAAGATACCTTGTCCATTTTCTGTTATTGCTGGATCTTAAATTGGGCCAGTGAATATTCCAAATGCGGGAGCAATCGGAAGATCATAGATAGTAGGGTCGTCACCGAGAGTAGAGATGTTTAATGGTACGTATTGGCTAATAGTTATCTATAAAAATAAAAATATAGCATAAAAGAGTCGAAATGAAAAAATTGAGAATTAGTTTAATATATTGGTACTATTAAGTTGAGGTAAGTATAAAATCAAAATTAGAGAACATTTAGCTCATCTTTTTCTAAAGCAAATTGTCCAATAATTAAAGCTATAGTGTTTTGGGTGATTTCTTCTATAAGAGGTGTAAACTCTGATCAAAAGGCTTTAAATTTGTAATTGACGAATTCGTCATCACTAGCTCTATAAACACCGGTTCCAGAAGTATATTTATTTGCATTGGAAACATTTTTGACAAATGAAACAGCACAAAAAATCGAAGCCATATTTATTGATTGGAATGGAAAAAATGATTAAAGGATAATTTTAATGATCATATTAAGCTTTATTATATATGTTTTGTATAGAATCATTACAGAATCGTATTATAATGCGTCATTTGTATAAAGTAGCGTTTGTCATAATTTTTTATTATGATTTGATATATTGTGTAAAAAAAAGAATAGAGCGGAGAATGAAAAGTAATGTTCGAAAAGATTATCATAGAGTTCTGTGAAAATTTTTTATTAATGTTTTTTCATTAAGATTTATTAAAGCTATGATTAATGTTCGGTATTTATCGAGATATTTCAAATATAGTTAGGTCTAATTTCTCGGTTTAATATAAAAAAGGGAAGTCCAGGTCAAGGCTAAGTTTTGATTTATTATAATTAATAAGCAGTCGATTGGTATTAGTATTTTTATGGTTTGATTTTAAGTTGAGAGCAAAGAGAAAATTTTGTTTTTTAAAAGTCCACTCGGGCTGTGCTATTTACAATTTAGAAGTCTATATTGTGTATTAGTGTTTTTATATATTTTATCGCATATATTTGGAAAAGATTTTCAAAGCAATATATTTTGAATGAGTTATCATACTTTCGTGATTTTAAAAATCAGGAAATAAAAAATGAATTATAATGTGGAGTCTGTTCGATTTGAAGATAAAATGAATAATAAATATCATTTATTTATAGTAAGTTTTTTAATCTCTCGATTGATCGATAAAAATTGATATTGTTTAAAGCGATTGTTTTTAATATTTTTTACAATACTTTATTTTATGTATTAAGAGTTGATTTTAGTAAATAATAGGTTGTACATATTCACGTAAGTAACTTTGTATGAAGGTATAAAATTAGAATTTTTTTTTCGTATAAATAGACACCTTATTCGGAAGTGAAAAATTTTTTTTTGAGCGGATAGCAGAGAATCTCTACTCATCGCGCAATTCTCAGAGTGTTAAGAAAAAGAGCGCTCTGAAATAAATTGCCCATATTTTTACAATTGTTTTTCTTTGTGTAATGAAAATTTCCTCATATAGAAACCGCCAATTCCTATTTTATATTTGATCTACACCAAACTAATAGTTATAAGGTAACAGGTTGCTTTTAAAGGAAAATAGGAATTGCACAAAACTCAAACAATCTTGACTAAGTGCTAAATCTTAATAATTGACCTTGTGAATCTGAAAATGAAAACATATATAATGAGGAATCGAGTACTGAAGATAGTGAATCCGAATCTGAAATTTTAAATTATCTTGTACATGATTAATTAAAGTTTGTCAAGTATTTTTCCATAAAGTTTTCTTAGCTCTGAAATAAAGGATACTGAGTATTTTGTTGCACCTAAATTAAAATAAGATTAAATTTGAAATTTTTTTTTTTTTTTAAAAAAAAATAATATAATAACAGACCTTTCGAAAAATGATGCATCTATCTTTCCAAGAGGATTAACAAGGTGTTTGGATAATAAAAGTTTTTTTTTTTTTATCCTTCTTTCAAGTTCACAGCAACAATTACACCAATAGGTAAATGAAGTAGTCTTGATTTGTTTATTATCATATTTTTTATAATATAACCATCTCCTTTTTTGCAGATCTTTACGATCTCAAGTGTTAATGAACTTGTAAAAACTTCTTTGGTGTCATTTACTTCCAATTCATTACCGTACGGCGCTGCCTATAGTACCAGGTGTGACATGATTTTTTACATAGTGAAAGATTAAAAATCATGTGCATTGCACAATTGTTTACATCACATGTTACATATAAATAATATTTTAAAAAATTGATTTACATTATTTGTCACACTAGGTACTATAGGCTAGTGATTTAAGCCATAAGGTTTTAGTCAGCTGGCTAAGCCAGCTGACTAAAATATCGGCTAATCGGCTGGCTAAATACCATACTTCTGAAAAATTTTGGTAAATTTAGCTTGTATTTTATGTTCATTTATTTTTATTTTTGAAATTTACCAGAATTCTACTATATACTAAATCATATTATCTTTAGCTGCATTAGCCAGCTAAGCCAGCTTAGCCGCGGCTACCATAGCCAGCTTAAATCACTACTATAGGTAGCGCCGTACGGTAATTATTCAAGAAGTATCTACAGCTATCTCAAGATTCATATGCATATTGCTTTCTTTTTAACATCTATAAGCTTTTTATAAACTATAAACTATATATTTAATCTCTTCAGATTTTACAGTATTTTCTTTTTGCTTGCAAATATCACTTAAAATTTGATCTTCACGTTTTCTTTTTCAGCTTTCATTTATACAGTTTGAACACTCAAAACAAGTTTTTTGATTACTTTGAAATGCAATAATGTTCGAAAAAATGAACAAAGTTTTGAATTTTCCATTTTACGATATTCAAAAAAAAAAAAATTTCAATGTAAATAGTTATTTTTACATATATTATTATTTTTATTAATCAAATATCATATCAATTATTAAATTTAATGTTGGAAAATAAATTTAAAACCCGATTACATACATGATTTTGGTGGTAATACTAGTGGGTCAAGTGTTTTGTGCCCTTTGCCATTAAAAGATTCCAGAGAATTGAAAAATTATGTCATCCATGTGTCATGACTGATCCATTTAATGTTTAGGTGATTAACCCAAAATCCTGATTAATTTTGCAGACAAGCCACCTTAACGATTAATATGAAATCGAAGAGTTTTGTTAGAGAGAATAACTATTGAAGCTAAATTAGACGGTACATTGATGCAGCTTTCTTAACCAATAGTAGCAGTATCCGTTTGCTAGCTCACATTGCACTTCCGATGTACAGGGAAACACAAGCAAAATTTCCGGAAAATCATTTTACTAATAAATTTATTTATACCAAGAAATTATCTGAAACAAAACAAATAGATCGCCTGGCGCGATACAAACATAAAACCAGAAAAATTA